CGCGGCTTGGGCACTGCTGGTGGTGGCCATGGCGGTCCGCTGGGGCATCGTGTCCGTTGGGCTCATATCCAGCGACTTCACGACTGTGCTGCGCTCGCTGCCTCCCTCCGAGCATCAGGTCTGGGGCCTGGGGGAGCGAGGGGAGGGGCGCTGCGTCCTGGGTCCGGTGAAGTTGAGGGTGAGGGACCCTAATGTAGGCATCCCGATTGGATTCTCCCACGCCGTGACATTTGGTAACCTCCTCACTGCTCCCCACGCTGTCCCGCAAGCGCGTGACCCTGGGGTTTGATCCCCGCCGCGGTGCCAGTGCAGAGAAGCCATTTGACCGCTGCGCTGGGTAGTTTAAACCCACCAGCCGCTCCCTGGGAAGGAGGAGACCTTAAAGACTGACCGTCCCCGGAACCCTAAGTCGAGCCGCTAGGAGTCACAATCTACTCGATGGCAGTGGGTTTGGATTGCAAGCGTGGGTCCCCACACCCACTCCTTACCCAGACCCAGATGTCCAGCTCCCTGGCCACCTCCTTTCCCCAGCCTCCCATCCGGGGCGTTGTAAAGGCAGCATCACCACCCTGCCACCTACCTGCTTCCCATGCCAGCCCCACCCCAGCCCTGAAACCCGACCCCTGAGCCTGATCCCAGTGTTTTCACAGGTGGTGGCGGTAGCGGCCCGAGACCTGAGCCGGGCGAAGGAATTTGCACGCAAGCATGAAATCCCCAAGGCTTACGGCTCCTACGAGGAGCTGGCCCAGGACCCAAACGTGGGTGAGTGGCGGGCGCCGCGGGTCCTGTTTCGCAAGACCTTTGGGTGGGGAGGCGGAGCTCTACTAGAAATGCGCTCCGAAAGCGCGGTGACATTGCGTTGTACGAGCCAGGCGTCTGCGCCCAGGGCTGGGGCTCGACTTTGCCACGAAACAGAGTGCGCCCCACCCTGCAAGGATTCAAGTGATCAATGCCCTGTGGGCAGGCTCGTGTGTCCTGGGGTGGCGGGCAGCACTTCGCAACAGGCAAGACCCTGGCGCCGGAGTTCAGGAGCAAAAAACGAACAAATGAAACAGTGCCATCAAACCGATGCCAAGGCACAGTGGGTTACCGAGACTGTAACTGTGAACGGAGCGGAAAGCCTTGTCGTTCTTCCGGGGCAAGTCGCTGGTTTCGAGCAGCTGACCATGCAGATCGCCGCCCAGGGGGCAGGAGGGAGGCGCCTGCACTCGCATTGTGCCAGTTTCTCGTGGGCGCCATGGCGTTGCGGGGTCGCTGGGTGGCGCCCGTGGCTAGGGAGAAAAGTCGGTATGGGATCTGGCCCAGGGCTTCCCCGGAAAGGCTTTCGCTGGAACCCAGTGGGGCACCACCGTGGGGCACCCAGTTGAGTCGAAATAGACTCCCTGGTCTTGAGCCCGAATCACAAGACGGCATTGGCATTGCTGCGTGGTGGAGTTTGAGAACTTGGCGACGTGGCTTCTGCGTTAGGCAGCTACCTACCAGGTCAGCAGTTTGACACCACCAGCCCGTGGGCAGGAGAGAGCTGACGTTTTATCCTCCTGTAAACAGTTACAGTGAAGAAAAGAGAGTTACAGTCTCAGAAACCCACCGGGTCTGAGGCCCTTGTCCTCCGGGGTCACTCTCAGTCAGAATCGACTCGAGGGCAGTCAGTTTGGTTTGGGGAGGCCATGGAAGAAAGCAGAGGAGGCAGTTCCTGGTGAAATCAAAACAACGAGCAAACACGTGCCCTCTAATTCAGGGAGATCTCATGTATTAGGGTCAGTCAAAAAGTATCGCTCTTGGGTCCCAGTTCGAACGTTTTAAGCGTGTCTGTGAGATTAGTGTGTGGCTGCAGACAAGTTCTCCCTGATAACATATCTTAATCTCCTGAAACCGAACCAAAGTCGCTGCCATGGGGCCATTCTGATGCATTGCTACCTACAGGGCAGGGTAGAACTGCCCCTGGGGGCTTCCGAGACTGTAACTCTTTAGGGGAGTGGAATGCCTCGTCTTTCTCCTGCTGAGCTGGCTGATGGTCTCGGACTGCCGATGTGATGGTTAGCAGGCCGATGTGTGAAGGGTACCATCCAAGCCACAGTGTCCTAGGGCATCGGCTGGGCCAGTTAAATTCCAAGCGGAGAAGTCAGTTCAGAGGGTTATGGTGACTGGTTTGGAAATTGCTGCCAGTATCCCCTTCTTTGAAGAAGCATTCCTTGGGACATCCTACCCCGTCCTACTTACAGCCGTGACCTTACCCCATTTACACTTCCTTTTGCTCCCCCCAATTCAAAGAACATTTCTGAGAAAGACAATCTGAGCCACTCGGGAATCCCTAAACAGCTGTTTCAACATGGCCCTAAGCCGAAAACCATAGAATTCTTGGGAAGACACGTTGGAGAGATGGCAATGCCACTTTCAGAAATGTATGGACCTTGGGGGGAGAGGGGAGGGAGGGGAAAAATGAGGACCTAATGTCGGGGGTTTAAGTGGAGAGAAAATGTTTTGAGAATGATGTACAAATGCGCTTTACACAATTGATGTGTGTATGGATTGCGATAACAGTTGTATGAGCCCCTAATAAAATGTTTAAAAAAGAAAAAAGAAATGTATGGACCTCAAAAACGAAACAATTCTCTGTCAAGTAGTCGACTTCGGAGGCCTGGTGACATGGTGTTTAGCACTGGGTGCTTCACCTCAAGGTCAGCAGTTCAAAACCACCAGCCTCTCCTGACAACAGAGACCAAGTTTTCTACTCCTGTAGAGAGCGCCGAGTATTGAAAACCCACAGGGTTAGTGCTACCCTGTGCTATAAGTTCACGATGCATTCGAATCTCGACTTCTTCACAGTGAGTTGAAAGATAGGGGTGTGTGTGTGTGTGTGTGTGTGTGTGTGTGTGCAAGCGTGCACAGGGGGGGCAGACTTTGACTCCAGTTGGAGGTAGGGGGTGTGGGGAATTCTAGGGGCGTCATCTCCAGCGTGGGATCTGGGGTGGGCAGGGCTGATAACATCTTGACCTGATCATGTTGTCCCTCCTAGAGGTGGCCTACATTGGTACCCAGCACCCCCAGCATAAAGCCGCGGTGATGCTGTGCCTGGCTGGGGGCAAGGCCGTGCTGTGTGAGAAGCCTCTGGGTGTAAACGCCGCAGAAGTCCATGAGATGGTGGCCGAGGCCCGCTCCAGAGGCCTCTTCCTTATGGAGGTGACTCGCCGGCTGGGGGCAAGGGGCGCCTTCCAACATCCAACAGGGGGGGAGCCCACAGACGGCCATATCTAGTGACCCAAGAGCCGTTGGTGGATTCAAACTTGCACCCCTGCAGTGCTTAACCACCGTGCTGCCAGGGCCCCTCTACTTTCATCCTAGGGAATATCATAGCAGACACATGCCTTGGCGGAGTGGGTTCAGCTGACCTGACTCGATGGAGAGAGTTTGGTTCAGGTTTCAATTCCTCCTGGTAGGTTCTGCCAGTCAGGAGTCCCTGGTGGTACCACTGCGTACAGCAAGCACAAAACCCTGACAACCAACTTGTGGCAAGATGAGCTGACCACCTTGGACACCCTGTGGGACAGCCCCGCTCGGTCCTATGGGTTGTCTGTGCGTCAGAATCCATCCACTGGCAAACAGCCCACTCCTTCGACGGCCAGTCGGAAGGGGCTGCTGTGGGCTGTTCTCAATGTCCTGCCCAAAGCTGCTAAACCAGTCTGCAAAATGTCCCATCTTGAAGCTTTGGAAAATCAGGATTGAGTGCATTGTTTCCTGTTCCCACCGAAACAAACAAACAAACAAAGAAACATAAAGACCCCAAACTCCCTGCCATCCCGTTGATCCCGACTCAAAGCGATCCCTGTGGGATAGGGTAGGACTATGCCTGTGGGTTTCTGAGACAGAAACTCTTTTTTTTTTTTTTTAAGATCATTTTATGGGAGCACTTACAACTCTTGTTACAGTCCATACATCAGTTGTATCCGACATATTCGTACATATGTTGCCATCATTCTT